TAGAGTCAATAACATAACAATATTATAATTTTATATTCAATCAGTTAGAACAATAATTTTCTCGTTTATTAGCCTACTGGTATCCATTTGGGTTCATAGGGATGTCCCCACTACGCGTGAACTCTTTTTTAAAATTTTCAACTAACGGACCATCCCCATACCCTATCCGGTATGAGTGCTAAGAAATACCATCCCTCAATACCTCATCCAATATGAGGATAAAACGGGCCATCCCCGTACCCCGTCCAGTATGAGTGCCAAATTACTAATTCTCGATACCTCGTCCGGTATGAGGTAACATTCACGATAGGGTTCCCTATTTACCCGGTCCGTCCACCATCTCTCAGGATATCCAGTAAAGCTATCATTCATCATTTCACTTAATCAAATAATATCTTGTTTACCTTTAAATTTCAGTTTTTCAATTAACTATAAATCACGTAAAATAAGTAAGACATACATCAAAGGAACACAATCGAATTATCATACCAATTCAGTGTATTATCATACATTAGAAACTGTAAAATTAATCAATTAGTAAAACATGACAAACAATAATAAATAACTAGTTTGGACTCCATTAGTAACATTTAATTATCGATACTTCTAAATCACACAAAATACCATATTATTTATAATTAGACTCAAATTCCATAATAGGGAATAAGGTTAGGGGTTCTTACTCGAATTGATGTCTGAAATGCTAAGCTTTCAATTGCACCTATTAACAGTTTCCGGATTCCCTAAATTTTTCTTCGGAGATTAAAACACGTTACAAGTACCTAAAAAAAACCCAAAAAATTCAAAATCGATGCTAGAAACCCCTTTTGGCCAATTTTTAAGATTCCAGCACAGCGGCGCCGCTGTGCTTTGGCGACGGCACCGCCGCTCGCAGCGGCGATTGGCAATTTTTGGCCAGTTTCGATCGATTTCAGCTAGTTTTTTACTCATCCCTGTGAGAAAATATGTTAAGAGGCATCGGTTGGTCGAAAAAAATCAAAAAATAGAGGCTTACCAGCAGCAGAGTTTCTGATGCGGTAGCTCCGCCGGCTCACCTTCGCAGTTGGGTATTTTGCTTCGGTCAATCTGTAGAAAAAGGAATAATAATTACAATGGTGGAGAAATTGCACGAAACGGGAATCGGGAAGGGCATCATCAAGGCAATTTTTGTTTTTTTTTCTGCGGTAGTGCCGGCGGGCTTTCCCCGCAATTTTCGTTTCATCTGTCGGTCTTTTTACTTTGATTTTGCCATGAAGGTGTTCAAAATTGAATTTCGAATAAATAAATTTTTTTTACCTCTTCTGTCGGTCGGAAGTGCCTCTGGCGTAGTGGCGGGAGCAGTCGGCTCCCTTTCTGGCCTCTGGTTCTTCTTCTCCGGCGCGCCGGGGAGGGGGGGGGGTTGGCAGCTAGAGTTAGAGTTTGATGTGAAGTGGGTTATTTATATCAATCTCCTTTTAATCTGTACCGTCCATCGAGTTTGATATGAAATGTCCGATCGCGTTTAAATAGGAAGTGAATTTGGACCGTTCATCGCGATTTGATCTGGACTGTCCGACTGCATTTAAATAAGAAGTAAATCTGGATCATTCATCGCGATTCGATCTGGATCAAACAATCGCGTTTAAAGGGAGAACGAATCTGGACTGTGTACACGCACAGGAACAAATTCAGACCATTTGATCGTAGTCACGCGGATCGCAAGCGTAGCCTTCCACGTGGCACCACGTCTGGCATCGTGCCAGTGTGCCTTGCCACACGGTATGCTTTGATTCGTCGATGCTGCTGGCTGGGCATCTAACACCCCAAAAATATTTTCATTTTTGTATTGGAATTTCCCTCGGATGTTATTTTATTTTAATAGTTAATTTACACTGTAATAATCATATGTTTAATTTAATTTAATAGAAATAAAAATAATAATAATGATAAAATCGGGTAAACTTATTTTTGGAAATTAATTGTTTTGAGAAAAAGGGCTGAAAATTTAGA